TTTTCACTCAGGAGGTTATTTTATTTTAAACACACTGAGCCGTAACCGACCCTAAACCCAGCGTATAGAGGTTCAGTGAATGTGGTGTTGAAAGTTTGTAGATGGGTCAGTTTATCAGTGGAGACGCTGTAGAAGGACAGAGAGCCGGCCGGACAGTCCAGATACACTCCTACTGTCCCAGAGCTGGAGGGACGAGCAGAGAGTTCAGTGCTGTTATTATTGTGACGGACAGAGTAACTGTTATTAGAGCAGCTCAGAATCCAGGACTTTACATTCCCTCCAAACTGACAGTCATAACTGTGTCCTTTCCTGCTGATTGATTTATATGTTACTGCTATTTCAACCCTCCGCTCCACTCAGCCTCCCAGTAACAGCGTCCAGTCAGACTCTCTCTACACAGAACCTGATAATTCCACCCATCAAATCTCTCTGGATGATCAGGATACGACTGTGAAGATCCCACATTCACCACCTTTCTGTTCCCGTCAGACAGAGAGAGAGAACTGTGCGCTGTGTTTGGATCCAGAGTGAACTCACAGGAATCTGCACACAGGAAGAGACATTAGAGTGAGTGAGTGTGTGTGTGTGTGTGTGTGTGTGTGTGTGTGTTCTGTGTGTGTGTGTGTGTGTGTGTGTGTGTGTGTGTGTGTGTGTGTGTGTGAGCATGTTGGTTTTTGTGGTTTACGAGGACCTTTCAGCTGATTCGATTTGATTTGATTAGTTTAGTCGTCTCATTCAGAAACTCAGCTAGTTCAGAAATAAAAGTGAGACTTCAGCTGTAAATAAGATTATCTTGAGCTCCTTTTAGCAACAGTCAATCAAATAAAGAGACTAAAATATTTCATGTATGAAAAGATCAAAATAAAACTGTTATTTTTCTATAAAGAGTGGAGCCATCATGGAAAATGGCTGCCATGGAGCTGAGAAAGAGAACTGAATCCAGAAGAAGAGGCAGCAAATGTTACACCTGTTTATAAAGACAAAGATGGGTTTGGTGTGAAATATATAAATCCAGAATGATGACTGTTTTTGATACATTAAAACACACAAACATTATAAGTGAAGAAAAATAAAAAACAAGAAAAATGTAGAATTTGGCCGTTTAATGATTTAATCATTACAGAAAGACTGCAGACAGTTTCTGTTCTCAGATTTGTGGCACTGATCAAAATAATTTTTATTTTTTTATTTTCTGACTGTAGAATTTTAAACTATGATTGTCTGGATTTGAACAGATTGTCTGATTGTTCTGATGTTTTTGCCAACAGAACTGTAAACATGAGCGAGTCTCTGCAACTGTTTCAAGCATGAACAAATGCCGTGCGTGTGCTGGACCTGCTGCATCACTCAGGATCAGTCAGTAACGGTCAGTAACGGTCATTACAGTTAGATAATTAAACAGTAAATGATTAATATCAGGTCTTTATGAATGTCTTTATTTCATATTTAGGTAGTCACTCTTATATTTATCACACTGTGATATTTTTGATGTCATTTTTAAAGTGATGATAAAAACTCTAAATTATTGAATCTGATTCCACTCAGTGGAGAATAAGGACAGTACTGAAAATGGGTTTGATTGTTTTTGATGCTGATTAAAATCTGTAACAGTTCTGGATTAACACTGGACTACAGTGCTGCTGTCGGTCATCTCCTTGTGCGGCCTCACACCAAACGACTTTTCACGCGATTTCACTGTTGCAGACAAATTTCAGTGTCGGAATAAAATCCCGAGAGTCTTGTTAGAGTCGCGTCGCGCTCGCGTCGTCTCGATCGTTCAGTGTGAGGTGTTTAGGATGACCTTAAGTCAGTCTTTTTCTCGTCTTGACGCGACAAAATCAACCATGTTAATATAAGTTTTAAGTCTTGGCTCAAATAGTGACGTGTGTGAGTGCTTACGGGCGAGCGAGCGGATACGTGCGGTGAGAGAGAGAGAGAGAGAGAGAGAGAGAGAGAGAGAGAGAGAGAGAGAGCAGGCAAATCTGCTCCACTTTAACACAATAAAACTGACTGCTTTAATATTTCAGGCATTATTGAAGAATCATTGATGTTTTTCCTTATTTTTTGCTTTCTGTCACTCTGTTTATTTTTATGGTTTAGTTCATCCAATCAGCACTGCTGAATCGCTGCATGTTGTGTTGTGTAAATCTTTATGTTAAATAAAAAAGTATCTGCACATTTTACAGGTTAATTAAAGATTCTGGGTGATGATCTGTCAGAGTAAACAGTTCATCTGTTAAAGTGACAGAGCAAGTTTTTATTTTTTTATTCAGCCAGGTGAGTTTGGGTCAGCAGTGGTGAGAAGGGCGGTGTTGGGTCGCGTGTTCTGCGGAGAAGCAGTGGCGTCCTGAGATAAACTTATGGCTAATGTTAGCAACCATGTAGACAAATGTAACAGTCCTTTATGGGCTGGGTGAATTCAGAATGTGATAAAAGCCTGAAACAGCATGTTTATCTGATCATCCACAGTTTTATACTCGGACACAGCTGGATGGTTGGATGTGTAAACATGGAGGTGTTCGTGGTGACTTAAACTATAAAGGTGGGCTCATAATTAGAAACGCTGGTGTGGTGTTTCCACAGTTAGCAGAGCTGGACTAAGACTAGTTTACTCATCCTACGAGTAAATAAAGCTGAGCTGAACAGCTGAAGGCCTAAAGGTGCTCTGCAGGTTTAAAAACTGACCAGGGCAGCGTTTAGTGTAACACCTGTTCTGCTGTAGTTCCTGAGAAAGATGAAAAGTATGATCTATGTGAGGTCTATACTGACGTTTTAATAAATTAATGTTTTTAATTACATACAGTAATGTTTATACCATGGAAATGAATTGTTGGACGTAAAACATGTTTTATGATTGTTTTATTTGTGTGACATTTTACACAGCTTGTAGATTTTAATATGAACACCAGCTTCATTCTGTCATTGGTTTGATCAGATAAACACCACTGAGGTGTTTAAGGAGCACCTTAACTCAGTGTTTATATACGTCAGCAAAACATTGTTTCTTTTTTTATTAAAGGCCTCAGATGAGTAGAACATTATCATTGTTATACTATGAATGTGTAAAATTGATTTGTCTCATTTATTCTGACATATTTTTTCCTGTTACAGCAGCACAACTGAAATACGGAGGAGACTCAACCCAAAGAACTCTGTATGCAGTGTAACTGAACAGCACAATAGAAGAGAGACACACAGATGAGTACAAAGGTGAGAACATGTCTGAATATGTCTTTCTAAATGTTTAATTGGGCTGTAAGAGTTTTAAGTAACAGTGTAACATCTTTTACTTTGAATGATATTCAGCCAGTTGATTTCAAAAGGGTTTTTAAATGGTTTAGTAATTAAGATGAAGGTTGGTGTTGATTAACCAACAATAGAATGAGGGAAGAATAATGTTCAGAAAATCTGTTTGAGAAAATGTCACCTTATTTTCATTTATTTATTATCTTTTTCTCTGATGTCTTTTAGGTCGTGGTGAATTTGCAAAAGTAAATATTGAGAAACTAAGTTTTATTCTGGAGTACAAAGTACAGCAAATCACAGGAGAAGATTCTGACTGTTTTGGAGAGCGAGATTTCAAACACAACGGGGAAACTTTATAACTCAGATTTATAATGAAGTTTAATAAAAATTCTGTTCTTTGCTTTCACTGTAAGTGTAAAACTGAGACCATCTGTATATTTTATGTATGTTGTTTATATTTTTGTTACGTTTTTAAAAGAAAATTTACTACTAATTCTTTTTTTAAACAGCATTGATGCCACTGATGATGAAGGGTCCTTTGGGCGCTTGGTCAACGACAGTGCTGAACCTAATTAAAAAATAATGAATGGTAGAAAACACCTGTGTTTGTTCACAATAAGAGATATTAAGAGAGATGAAAAGATAAAGTATGATAGGAGGAGATAATCTTACATGGTGCACCACTCTACGCAAGGTGAGAACATGGGGGGAGGGGGGGTGTAAAGTGCTCTAATATTGATATTATATTAATCTAATAGTCAATATTATATCAAGTGTATATTGATCTGATAGTCTGGAGGCTTTATTTAGTCCCTCGTTGTTCTTTCTGTGTGTTTTAAACCTTAAACATTATTATCATCTAATTTTATACCACTGTATCCTGTTTCTATCAAACCAGGGCTCATTCTGACTGCAGAGTAAACAAAGTCAATGTTAATTTAACCCCCAGATATTATGTAAAAATGTTTTTTGTTCATCAAAAGACAAAGTTACTGTAACATCATCCACTGAAAAGATCTTTGATCCATGTTCACAGGTAACAGCACAACAGAGCCAACTAGCAGTTCATCTACTAAGCTGAGAGTTACTGATGGTGTTTAAGGTTTTCTGTATTTGTTCTGATTTAGGAGTGATTGATGTGTGAGTAGATGAGACTGAGAATGTCTAGTTTATGAGAACATTACTGGGTTTATAAGAGCTGAATGTGGCACTGTTTAGACTTTATGTGTAGTCAGTCAGTGATCTGCTAGCTTAGCTGACCTTTTGCATGGTTGAGTTTAAGACTTCTATTTAAGATTTTCCACAAGACTAATGTTGATGTTCTCTATACATTGATTTTTTTTTTCTTTTATCTCTCCAGATAAATGATGACGTGAATCAAACAAGAACTACATTTACTTCAGGAAACATCACACGTCATGACCGCCTGGAGACCGACATCCCGGTACATAAATATCTGATCCTTTGAAGTCTATTCCTAATTAGATAAAGCTCAGTATTGTGTCCTACTGTGTTCTTCACTGAGGCTGTTGTGAGGGGTGTTTTTGTACAGGTGACTCAGGGCTGCTTTATAAGAACAGGGTTTGGTTTGTGAGGATCTGGTACAGAAATCAGTGCAGTGTCCTGAAGCTCAAATACAGTGATTATTACAGCACTTGTAACACTTAACAGGGTTATTCAGATATCATTTCATATTCATTGTGTTTAGGACCCTAGCACTATTAGGTGTGTTTTTTCCCCCGTTTTTGTCAGTTCCTCTTTCAGTTGTTGTAACTCTAGTAGTTATATGAGACAGCCACGTTATATGTTTTATTTTCAGAAGACATGTGGTCTCAAATATGTAATCACCTGAGTTGTAAATGCCCACAGAAGTTTGATATTTTTATGAAACTGGACATGTTTTGATCAAAATTTTACCAAGCGCCTGTTTTTTTTTACTTATTTTTGACTGTATCTATTCAAAACAACACTGCACTGCTTTCATGTCAATTAGAAAGTTTTAGAATAAAGTGTCTATGAGTTGAAAATATAAGAATTTTGTGACATAGTATATGAGTAGCATCAGGCGGACTTATTTTTCTTGATATTGTCACCTAAAGGATCCATGCAGGTTGCTAAAACTGCCTGTGACAGACGGACACAGCAGGTCAAGCCTTTGAGTTTTTGTTCAGGGCCAATATGGCTAATATTCCAGCTAATACAGCGCTGTTTTAGTACACTGGGTGTTTATTATCAGCTGCTTATAATAACAATGACTCCTATAATAAAGAATCCTTCCAGAAATGATCAGATAAATA